CATTTGTGCAATACACCACAACTCATACATATGCACAATTACAATATTTTTAGTGCTAAACCCCTTAACAATGAAAACAAAAAGGGGGAGTCTCATTCACATTTAACTATATATATATGTAATTCACCATCAATCATAAATATACTCCTCACTCACTTGCACTACTATTTTAACCCTTTTTAAATATATTATTTAATGCTTGCATAATTTAGGGCCCAAAATATATAATTTAACTCAAGATTCACATAGTGCAAGTAAATGAAAATATGAAATCTCTTAGTCGGCAATATCATAACAAATTATGCACATAATTTTCAAAACAAACAAGGCCCACAAACTACAATGGATATCCTAGGCCTTAGGATGTTCCCTCGATCTTGTCCTGATGAGCTAGTTTTTGTAATAGTTAAGAGAGAAGAGTGAGTACAATTACTTAGTAGTTAAGGTATATTTAACCTATGCTAATGCATATCAATTAATTAGAAAGAAAGTGGCATAATAATTTTAAACTTACGTAAAAATATCAATTCACTAAACACGTTTTTGGCATAATATATCATTAATATCACAAATTCATGTAATATCATCTTGGTAACTCATTTTCACATTAAAACAATACTAAACATGTGCTTTCACAATAATTTCATCACAAGGGTCACAATATAAACAACCATGTGCCCTTTATCACAATATGCATGATCACACTTTTTTTATAACTTCCTTATGCTTTTGATATGAAACCATTGGCTATTTTATTGTAGACTCATCCATATGATGAGATTATCCTAGCCTTTTATGCATCAGAAGCTACCTAGCTAAGGTTATTTAACTCAATTGTGAGTTATGGTTTCTCCCAAATCTTACACTATGGGGTGTCATTCTCCATAAATTAGCTTTTTCATCGAATAAGTGAAAACTAGATTAGGTTCAAGTTCCTTAATACATAATGGGACAATCCCTCATCAAACAAGTGAAACAATAAATTTAAGTATATCCAAGTAAACCATCAAGCTGCAAATGACAGTTATACCACATGGATTTAAAATTACTATTTCTTTTCCTTGGTGAACTCCCATCTCATCAGATCATGCAATGCATAAGTATAGTGATTCATGGTAGGTATATTACTTACAATGTTCAACATGCCAAATAGCTTCATTGTATTATATACTTAGTCATTTTTCAATTTATCATGAAACTTCACATATCATATTCTCACACATTATCATTATTTTATCATATAACTTACTTTTTATCTCATTCTTGTAATTTTAGCACATACATGTATAATCATGTAGATATTTATAAGTGCATAACATTTCACAATTTACAAATTGCCTTATGACAATTATTCATTGTACCATAATACTTATCCATAATATATGCCACAATTACATTACAAGCAATTTTCACATATTACATTAATAGTTATTAATCAAAATAACTAATTAACACACACAAAAGTATAAAAAAATTTCCTTTAGTTATCTCAAACCTTTGACAGGTCAAGGTTTACCCCTTACACAATCCTTCTAAAGCTATTTTAAGCTTGAATGGTGTTAAATTGTGATTAATCAACATTTCATCACATCAACAATCATCAATATTTTCATTAGCATAAATCTCTAATATCCAACTCAACACTTCCAACACTCAAAACCCAATGTTCTTCTATATAGGGTTACCCATAGGGTTTATTGGTTCTCTTTATCTCACATTAGTTTCATTAAGTTCCTATATTACAATTAATGACATTTCAACTCCCCTAACAACTTTAATAAATTTCATTTTTGGATATTAATGGCTTTCACTAACCAAATACTCCTAAGGCCTTTAATGTTAGGTTTAAATAGTCTAAACAACCTATTAAATTTATTTAAGTCAATGGATTCAAACCTATAACCTTTATCAACTGAAAATGATCTTACTCAAACAAACACTTACTCAAAACTTTGAGAAAATAGAAAAGGATGGAAGGAGAGGGCTTAGGATACTTACCTTAAATGCTTACAGGCTTCAAAACATCAAAAATCTCCCTTAATAACAAGCTTTAGCATAGCCCAGTTCATGCTCTTTTGTTATCTTGCTCAAATTTCCTTTTCTCTTTATTTTTTTAATTGTAGAATGCTCTTATTTCTATAGGATTTTAACTGTGTGCCATAGCGCAGCATGTGGTATAGAGAGCTCCACTTCATGTTTTAGTGGCTTGTGGTCCATAGCGTGTGGCACAGAGGCATTTATCCTTATTTTTCTCCCATTTTAAGGTTTGAGTATCTTAACTTTGCTCCAAACTCAATCCTCAGGCTGAAACCACAACTTAAAACATTCGCTAGGACCCTTTGATGACACACCACATTATTTACTTAATTAACCTTATTTAACATAGCTAATAAGGGGATAATCTTTCAGGATGTTATATATTACATTATGAAACATAATGTAGCTTACTAATAAGAAGTAAAGCATCCTCCAATGTATTTTGGTGCCTTTGACTTCCCTTTCTTTACATGCTCCTTGTAGAGCTAAATCTCCTAATTCAACTCTTCTAATACAAAGCTTGCCTAATTAAATTCTGACCATGCATTGTTTGTACAAGCCATCATCTTCAACACCTTATTGCTAACTTTAGGACTTCCACCGAGACATAGCAGAGTTCACAGTGTGAACAACAAAAAATGAAACTCAAACTTCTCATTCTTAGACTTTGAAGCTATCTTGTTCTTTAAATCATTTGATGTCATTACTGTATAATTTTTCTTCAAGTTTGCTACCAAGTCCTTGTTACAATTCAGATCTACTACTCGTCCAGGATTAGGTAGCCTTATAATTTATTGAATGTCTCCTGCTCTCACTAGTATTGTTTTCCTCTTTATAGTCATTTTCTTTATTAGAGGATTATATGATCACAATATCTCCCATCATAACTCTCTCAAGATCTTGACACCTTCAACATCCATCAATTTAGCAAAATCCAGTTGCCTTAACCTTCTCTTTTAAATGCTCATTCTCTTTTATAGTATCCCAATTTCCTTAAATTTTGATGGAGAACGTCGAGTGTTGAAAGGAATTTGATTTTTTTTTTGGTATTCTCACATCTCTTTGTTTAATGGCCTTCATTCTATATGGCTCTCTCTCTTCTTTGCTCATTTTTTTCTAGATTTCACTTGACTTTTCATTTGAGTTAGCTACTTTCTTGTATTTTCTTTTATTATTCTCTAATAGTTTTCTCCTAAACTCTTGTTATCCATTAAAAGAATGTGGCTTTTTTGGTTTGTTCAATGATGTTTTATATTATGTACCTACACAAATTAGCAATGCAAATGTTTAGAGTTAACAAGTTTAAGTATTGATAGAGTTAAAAAGTTTATAACTTAAACTTTAAATATTCACAAGTTTAGGTTTATCCTTTCCCAAGTACAAGTCTACAACTTCTAACTTCACATATTTACAACTAAGGTTTAATGACAGCAAGTGAAACTTTCATTTTTTTTTTTACAACTATAAGTTCACAATTTTTCAAGTCATAGATTTACAAGTAAAAGTCTAAAATTTTTAATTTTATCTAATTAGAAAAAATGTTCAATGACAACAAGTGGAAGTTTTGAATTTTACTATTATAAGTTCATAGTTTCACAACATGTGTTAAAATTTTAATAATTAAAACTCTGTTAGTAGTGAAATTCTTATTCAAAGTTAATAAGTTGTTGGCCAACTTCACAACAACTTAGAGTTCATGTATTCACAATTATATATTCACAAATTCACAAGTAGATGTCTAGAATTTCTAACTTCATATAATCAAAAAACATTTTCAATGACACTAAGTACATTAGAAGTTTATAGTTTCACAATGTTGGGTTCACATATTAACAAGTAAATATTTACTGGTAGTAAAATTTTTGTTCAAAGTTGACAAGTTGTTGGCCAACTTTACAAATTTACAATTTCAAGTTCACATATTCACAACAATAGGTTCAAAGATTTACAAGTAAAAGTTCATAATTTCTAGCTTCATGTAATCAGAAATAATGTTCAATGATACCAAATACAAGTCTTGAATTTTACAACTACAAGTTTCAAGTTTCATAATTTTAGGTTGAAATATTAATAGGTTAAAGTCTACTGGTATTGTAAGCTATCTTCAAAGTTAAAGCCCAGGCAGAACAAGTTCATAAATTTACAACTATAGGTTCGTATATTCACAACCATAGGTTAATATATTTACAAGTCAAACTCTATCAAATCTGAATAAAATGAAAAGAAAAGCACAAAATCTATAAAATCGAAACAAAATGTCGATGGCTGAAAAGCTAGAGCATTTACAACATTTCGAGCAAGGAGGATAGTATACCTTTGTAATAGCAACTCATTTGGCATAAAGAGGAAGAAATAGGCCAGCCTTCTTCACCAACGAGAATGTGTAGGAGTATTTTAATATTTCATCACTTTGCTTCTTCTTTTCACAAGCCTCCTCCATGATTGCTAGACAAATCACCTTTCAAACACCAAAAATGAGTTCGCCCAAGTCAAGAACATATCGATCCACCTTTAGGCTTCATTGTGTGGATGAGAAAAACGATCATTGCTTCTTGCTTCACGCGTGATTCTTTGTTTTCAAATGAAACGAGGGCAAATGTATCTTTTCATCCATAAAATATTGCAAGAAGGACCCTCAAACTTGCAATGTGTTTTTCAAATTCTATTGGGGCTTTAAATGCAATTAGTTATGTTCTTGGACCCCAAGTGTCCCTTTTTTTCAAAAAAAAAATCTTATCAACAATCTTATTCTTTTTTTTTTTACCAACAATCTTATTCCTTCTTTAAATGTTTTACAATCTATTATCTTTGACTATAACTAAAGCTTTTAATTAGTTTTCTGCCTCCTCCTCTTCTTTTATAAAACTAAACAATTGTTTTTTATGTTTTTTTTTTCCCGTCCTAGTTTTCGTCTTCGTGCTGTCCTTTTTGTTCTTGATTGGGGCTGTTGCCGCTTCTGGAACACCCCAAAAAAGGGGGTAAAAAAAAACCTTTTCTTCTCCCCCATTCAATCAAACCGAACAAGGAGGGATCACGGTCTACAGCCTCCTGTGTCTTGTACAAAGTCCGCAATTCGAAGGGAAGAGGACGTGGGGGGAGACCTTTCTTTCTCCGCCAGCTCCAGGTCTTGATCCCAAAAAAAAAAAAAAAACGAATCTGAAGTTACGGAGTAGTGGTAATTAGTGATGAATTTTTCTGCTCCATCTGTCGTTCCGCCCCACAATTCCTAACCCCAATATGTTCAATCCTCCCTGCAATCCGCTGCCCGATCTCTCAACAGCTCTCTCATCCCTTAACCACCTCATTCATCTCTCACACACCACCTTTCCCTCTCTCCCCTCTCTCTTGCGATCGCACTCTCAAAACCCTAACCCCAATCTCGTACCATGCCCTTTCAACTATCACCACCTCATGCCTCCTGAGTTCCTCTTTCTTCACTACCTCCGTTGCCCTTCCTCTCCCCACTCTCTTCCTAATCTCGACGATCTCCTTCATTCTCTATCTTACCCCAAAACCCTCGACTTCAATGTTCATTCCCGCCAACAAACTCTGCATGATCCTCACGCTGAACTCTTATTCTCTTTGGAGGATTACCTCGACTTTGGTTTCAATTTCTTTTACCATGATTGCCCTAGTGTTGTTACTTCGTCCGACGTGGATGCTATGAAGAGAACATTTACGCTTCCTGGTATATTATCAACTGAATGCGTTGATTTTGTTGGGGCTGGTGATATAGAGATTACTGAGCAAAAGCATTTGGGAATTCTTCCCTCCGAGTACTGGACTCTCAACAAAGAGGTCGAAGCTTGGAATGATTATCCTACTACATACTCGTGTGGTGTTCTTCGTGCGATTGTTGGTATAGGAATTGCTAAGGAATGTGATTTCATGAGATGGATACTGGCAAATTCGCCTGGATATGGTGTCGTGATTGATATGGCTATGCGAGAGCATATATTTTTACTGTTAAGTTTATGTTTGAAGTCGATTCTCAGAGAAGCTTTAAATACGTTGGATGCGTTGAACCATAATCTTTTGGAGTTAAATTGGGCGAGTATGAGCTCTGAGTGTCCCATTTTGGTTCGGTCATTGACATGGTTAACATCAGAAATTTCAATTTTGTATGGTTCAACAAAGGGAAAGCTATTTGTTCTTAATTTGTTTAAGATGTGTATTTTAGACGGTGCATCAGCTCTGTTATTGTTTTCCTTTAGGAAAGCTGACATTGAAACCCCCCCATTAAAAGAAAAGTTCCAGAATGAAAATATTGCCTCCATGGAAATGAAGGACATAAAATTTGACATTCTGCAAGAAGGAAATACGCACTTTGGGCAGAAAAAAATTTTGGGTGAAACTGTTTGTTGCCGTAAGGTCTCCGTGTCCCAAGTTGCAGCAGCTATTGCAGCATTACATGAGCGATCTTTGTTTGAAGATAAAATTAAGAGACTGCGGTTCTCTCAGCAACCAAACAAATTTCAGCTGTATGTTGCTTTCACATTTCATACCCCGGGGTGCCGGGGGGCTAATTTAGAAAGATCCCTTGAGTTACGGGAATTGAAAATTACTGGGGAGTTCAAAAGATTTAATATATCTGTATTTAGCTTCCCATAAAAGTTCATGGGCATGATAGATTTTCCAAATGTTTTGAATTCATGGAATTTGCAAAAAGATTCATAATTTATGATTATGCAAATTCCAGTCATCAATTAGTAATCTCATGCAGAATATGCCTTACTTATACTATTCTGGATAGATGAAATTTTGTTATGAGTTTTTCTTTTTCACCAGTTGGCTACTATGTGCGCATGCGTGTTGTACTTTTCACTTTGCTTTCTCTGCATGTTGTATATTTCTCTAAACATTCAAGAGATGTGATTGATCTGACATTAGCGATCATCATGTTTAACTTGCCTCTGACCATTATCAACTAAATTACTGTTGAATACTATGTCTGGAAATAGATCTTTTATGTTTTATCCTTTTCCTTTAGGGTTGCTGAGCATTGTTATTTGACTGAGAAAGCAAGTGAGGAGAGGAAGAAGAGGCCTGATTATAGAGCTATAATTGATTATGACGGGCTTCCACAGCAGCAATCATCTAACATGGTAAATTTAATTTGATGCTAATGAGCAGCAGAGTTTTCTGAGCTACATTTGCGTAAATCATTTTTTATTTGTAATCAGATAAGCTTTTACCCTTTTTTTTTTTTTGGCCTTGTTTAGAGCACCGAAAGTAAAAATGACCACATGAACTAGTTTGCTTCAATGATTTGTTGGACCCTTACTCTTAGTTGAAATCTCTTATGCCCTGTTTGGCATGCTGGAATTGAGAGGATGGAAATGAATATGAAAATTTTATATGTTTGGTTTGGACAAAATTAGGCTGAATTGGATTTCCACATGGAAGTCATTTCCATCAAAATTGATGGAATTGGGTTACACAAGGGAGAGCATGAAGTCCATTTCCACATGTACTGGACCAATGCTACCCTTGGCAGATACTAAAAGTGAGATGGAAGGGAGAGCGGTGAGGACAACAGTGAGGCAACAGGAGGATGATGGCAGTGACAATGGTGAGGACGGTGAGGGTGAGTGCATTGACAGTGGTTTGCAAATCTCTGGTTGAAGTTGGTTGATCCATCATCCTTGTCTTGTTCCCACCTCGTCTTCTTCCCACTTCATCTTCTCCATTTCCATCACCTTCGTCTTCTTTCTATCTCATCTTCATGATTTCCGTTACCTTGTGCCTCTTCTTTCTAGATGGAGATGTTCGACAGTTTGACCTTCCTCAGGTTTTTATTTTGTTTTCTTTCAGTTCCACAGTTTGACAGTTCGGACTTTTCCGTTGAACATATTATTTTATGGCTTTGATTTAATATTATTTTGCTTGACTGGATCTGGTTTTGATGCTTTATTTATGAAGGTGGCTGCAACTTTTGATTGTGGTTGAAGGTGATACTGGATTAGGGCATGTTTTTTGGATGAGGGTATTTTAGAGTTATCATATTATATATACCAATACTAAATAAAAATATCTCAATTCCATGAGTATACCATGCATAATTTTTAAAGTTGATATCCATCTCCATTTCTATATTTATATCCATATCCACCTCGATTTCCATTTCTTTCAAAATCATTTCTGCCAACCAAATGGGCCCTTAATATGACATCATAGGGCTGCTATGATACATTTGCTAACGGCCTTCCTAACTAAGTAGTACAAACTGTTAATAACATTAGAGAAACTAATTCTAAATACTTATTGATCCTTTTTTTTATTTGATGGCTCCGTGGCATAGGAGTAAATGTAATCGTATAATCGTACTCCCTACTAGATGTACTTGATGCATATCATTTTTCTGTTGGTTACAGGAAACAAATGGAGTGAAGACACGGGAGGAGTTACTGGCTGAAGAAAGGGACTACAAACGTAGAAGAATGTCTTATCGAGGCAAGAAGATGAAGAGATCAACTGTGCAGGTCAGAGTCAGATAAAATCTTTTTCTATAAGCATGACTAAATAGTACTGTGACACTTCATTTCTTGTGTAATTCCACTTTGAAAATTTTAATCCAGTAAGCTCTATATTCAATTCCGTTCTCCTTTTGAAGGTGATGAGGGATATAATAGAGGAATACATGGAAGAAATCAAGCAGGCGGGAGGTTTTGGGAACCCTATGAAGGAATCTGATGAGAGTGGGATGTTGCCTTCGAAATCTCTTTCTTGCTTTGACAGAGATATTGAAGCAAAGATTCTAAGAGAAGGCCGTCATGAATCATCTGCAGCAACTGCTTGTAATCCAAGTCATTATGAGCTGAAATCACGAACTAACTATTATAACAAAAACAAAGCTATCGAGGTCCTAGAGGATGCCTCTCCTAGAGATTATGAACAACCTAGACAAGGACATGGATATATAGAAGATCATTGGAATACTGTACATGCACGTTATGGTAGAAAACATGCTTCTAGAAGCCCTGAAGGACCCAAAAGTTATGGCCCACCAAATGACAGTATCAGTCGTCATAGAAAACAAGATTGTTCAAGTAGAAAAAAGCATGATCAGAAGTCAAGATCCAGAGATAGGTGGCAAAGGAACTTACACAGGAATAATGATAGCGATTCTCCCTTGAAAAGTGCATTTGAAGATCGATATGACCCTTCAGAATCTCTTGATGTCTATGAAGATAATGTCTCCTCTGGTACGAAATGATATACGCTGGTGACAGCCGCCATCATTTATAATGTCTTTACAGAACTCTGAAGGGACAGCTTCAGAAGCAGGTAAGTTTTTTTCCTCCCTCTTTTTTTAGGGTTACGTATACCATCTGGCTTTGACTTTATATAGGTTCAAAAAAGTTCTGCTTTTTGATGCAGTTATGTGCATAACATTGCAGTAAGAAGTTATCTGGATTCAGCATATGACTGTATCCTCCTTTGTATCCTTAACTGTGAATTTTGTTCATTTAAGCAAATTTTGCTCTGGTTTATCGTTTTGTTTATTATGGTTGTGATTTTTTTCATAGAGGAAAGCAATAAAAAAAAACAAAGAAAAAAAGTTGGCAATTATAGCAACAACCTATCACCATGCAATGAATGTACATTGAAATTTGCAAGATCAGTGGTGTCTTTTAGTTCAATCCATGATTGTTTTACTTCACCTGAATGTGCACACAAAGAGAATCAGTTATGTATTTTCTTGACGAATCATCTTAGACAGAAGTTGTATTTTTATTTTTATTTTTTTGGTGCTGACATGCTTTGCTTTAGATATTGAACACCTGAACTTCTGAAAGAGCAAAGACGTGCGTTCCTCATTTTGTTGCTATAGATATTGATATGCAATAGGAATAGTGGGCACCTGTAAAATCTGTCATATTTTGGGTGCCTTAACTAGCAATAATTGAAAATAAATTGTACTTGCCACTTTTCGCATATTTTCTTATCAACATTAGCTTGCCCGCATTTTCCCTTCCACATGACATGGCGTTAGACTACACTTGTTTGATGCATGCAAAAAGGCTGGTCGTGCTTTCTTTGTGACCCAGCTACGATTTCATTGCAACAAAATGAATTTGAAATGAAGCTTGTGTTCCAACACTACCGGAGAATGAGATTGCATTCCTTGAAGTGTCTCTACTACTTTCTTTTGCATTGATTTCTGACTTGCTAGAGCTACAGGAGAATTTCCGGTGGGTTAACTTGGTCAATTGTTTAGTTCATTGTAGACAGCCGGAAATGGAGCTGGTGTTACTGATTGTATAATAGAAGAGTTAGGATAAAATGCGTGGAGGAGGGCGGATCCTGTAGGGGAGATTAATTCACCGTGGGAAAATATTCTTGAATCATGATTGCGTGAAGCCCTTCATCATTCTTGCCAAAGGGGAGAGATGACACAACCGATGCTTTTGCGGCGGAAACCACCAAAGCCTTGCTTAAGGCTCAGTTGCCGTTTGTCAAAGCATGTATTCACTTTTTCATTTCTGCCTTTTAAGATATTTCGTAGTGCGAATGAATCGTTTGCTCGGCGCTTTTTGCAAACAGTAGGATTTGGTTGGCTTTTGTCAAAGAATGGACCACTGAAAGCTTTGTTGTGGCTGGTTAATATTTAGGCCGAATTGTTTGTTATATGCGAGTTACTAATAGCATCCTTCAATGCAACTTGTGTGGAAAGGTTTGGACTCTTTATAAATTTAATTTGGATTTTTCAGATTTAAAATTTTTAAAATGATTTTTTAAAGTGATGATTTATCTATTTTTAAAAGTGAGTTGAAAGGCTACTTGTTGGCCCTAAAAAGGTTATTAAAAAAAGGAAAAATGATAATAATTTTTTTTGAAATATATAAATAATAATTTGATCTTTTGAAATGTCATAATTTTTTTAAAGTCTTAAGGGTTTTTCTGTCATTAATAAATTTTTATAAATTATTTAATTATTCTTGTTAAAAATAAATAATTTATAATTTTTTTTATATATTCATAACTTTTTTTTTATATTAGTAATGATGTAACAATAAATAAGGAGTTTAATATGTGAATTTATGATTTACTGTTGTTTTGTTATGAATTTAACAAGAAAAGTTGTAAATATAAGAAAAAAAGTTATAAATTATTTATTTTTAACAAGAGTAATTTGATAATTTATATAAATTTATTAATAACAGAAAAATTTTTAAAGATTTCAAAAGAATTATGATATTTTGATAAATTAAATTATTATTTATATATTTTAAAAAAAATTATTATATTTTTTCATAAAAAAATAAAAATAAAAATAAAACTTAATTAGGTCGATCTAAATTAAATTTGGATGGTTATGGTGACTGGTGAGCAAGTCAAGCTCGTCATTATAAGCTTGAACATGGTTTCCACTTTTAATATGAACTGCATCTCGACGTTAAGTGTTTATGATTTGATTGTTAAGTGTCTATGTTTCTCTACAGTCAATGGCAGAAGGTAATGGTTGGTGTACGAAACTTCTGTATTCCTTAGAGCTCAAGTCAAGGCCATATGACGATTTTTTGTATGTTAGAAAACTTGATGGCAAACATGTACGAAAATAAAAACCAATATATAACTAAAATCTTTTGACTCTAAGGCATTGCTGTTTACTTCCTGCTCGATCATTGATATTTGATACTTACAAACATAGTTTTTTGGTAAGCAATACTTGAAAACATTTTATTAATAGTTTCGAATGAAAATTTTGGGAAGCCTATGCATCAGTTAAGCGTGTGATGATTGCTCCGGTATACTCAGCTGTCAACCACAAGTCCACAACGGCTTAGTGATTGCCTTCAATGCCAAATATAATTTATTATTATATTCGACGAAGTCCCATAAAAGCCTGCATTAATTGTTATATCCGTGATATCATCTCTGTTTATTTTTGTTTTTAATTTTTTTATGCAAAAAATTTGATGTAGGCCGACTTCTATGGATAATGAATCTTTTTAGCCTGCACTGAAAGCTACAAAGGGGTCTGTAGGCGGTGCAAGTTATGCTTGTGCTGATGATATTCACTAGCTTGTTTGCATCTCTCTCTCTCTGTGTTTTTTTTTTTTTGGGTTAGTACTTTTAGCGGGGATGGCTCTCTAAATAACAAAAGAAATAGAGATAAAAAAGAAAATTGTGCTGGACAACACTTTCCTTTATGTTTAATTCCCCCCCCCCCCACCTATACCAATCTTTCAGTTCAAGATGGGTTGATGGTAAATTTCTTTTATGATATAATGAAGATATTTGAGTATGGTTTGCACTATTAAAATTCAAGTCAATACAACAATGATTTTTATAAAGTAATAATTTAACTTTATCTCTAGTGCATTCAAAGAATAAAGGTAATAAGTTTTAATAGATGGATCTCCTTTTAATTTGGATGTCCCAAATGAGTGGTGGTGAGGAGTATTTATAAATTACTAAAGTGATGTTTTGAAGTAGTGTCTCTTGAGCAATAAAACTTTTTTTAAAATTTATAACCAATGTTAATTCATAACCCTTTTATTCGCTCATGAACAACCTTATATTATTCATGAGCATTCTTATTTTGGTTCATAAACCTACATAGTTCAACAATTGATATTAATCAAGAGTTATTTACAATTACTTTTAACAAAAAAGAAACATTCTTTTAATATACGGAGTTTTCTTAAAATACTTTTTATTTTACCAAGAAATACTTTTTATTTTTACATAATTTTTACATAACTTTTTATAAAGATTTCTTAATTTATGAGGACATAATTTTTTAATTTATAAGCACAGAACTTTTCAAAGAGAATGGTTTTTTCAGAAAACGTCTTCTCATTTTAAAAATATTTCAACAAGTACGGCATCCACGGAGTGGGGTGGTTGAGGTGAACAAAAGACGGGAGCTGGAGGATGAATTGCAAGGGAATGTGTTGAAGAATCAAACCGCGAAGACAGAGTACGTGGAAGTGCTTCGATGGTGCTTTGCCCGTGCCCTGTCACTAACGTCTCCCATTTTAGCATGGTCGCTGCTTTCATGCTTTGCTTTTTCATTCCTATCATGATAGTCCCCATTAATCTTTATTATAATATTATTTTTTATTCAAAATTTTTTTCGCCAAGATAATTCATCAAATTAAAGTAGCTCACATTTTATTTTGTTTTGCATTGTGTTTGAGCATTAATAAGAAAAGGTGAAGATGTCGATTTTTGTTTCGCACGTATTAATTGAAGAAGTAACAAAAAAGGGGAAAAATAAAAATCAACATCAAAAGAGTATAAAAAAACTAATGTCAAATGACTAAAGGAAGTGTTAAAAAGAGGTGGGAAGGGAGAGCGTGAAATGAAAATGGAAAGGGATGTAACGAGAAATGAGGCTTTTTGAGATGAATAAATAAAAAGGAATGGATATGAGAAGTAGGCAGTCACATACAACACTGCTCAACTGCCTCCCCATCTTGTTTTCCCTTTCCATTTCCGACTGAAACCCAACATTCCATGGTTCCTATTCTCTTCTCACTTGCTTGACCCTGTCAAACTCCCTCAATCCTCTATGCAGCGTAGCTACTTACATTAACATTATTATACATATAGAGTTGTATTTACCAATGTAGTAGCACACAGCCACGCCCCCCCCCCCCCCCCAAAAAAAAGCACACACACAATATAACTTAACACCCTGAACCTGCAGATGTTGATAAGATAAAGCTTAGTTCTTTGCATGACATTGTGGCATGACACGTAATATCATCAATCATCATGTCTTCTTTGTGCATGCACACTGTACGAAGCAAACCGCACAAAAATGCCTTCTCTTTATATGCTGCTACTTCATCTTTTCATCCTTTAAAATTAGTGGCTTCTGTGAAAGATCGCAAGTCGGGTCAGAGGCAGGCCACTACAAAGCCAAAATCACCATTTTTAACTTGACCGGCCTAGCATACCCATCTATAGGGGGCACCCTCAGTCCACCCAACTACATCTCGTCTTCCCGCACCCGCTAAGCTACTTATTCCGTAACCTGAGCCTAGCAAAAATGTGTTCCCTGGCTGATCACGAGTTGCTTTTCATCTTTGGTCTTTTAGCTAGGTATATCACTTACGCTCGCTCCAACTACAAACTGATTAACACATAACAATCATCTCCTTCAAATCTTATGCTCCTTCCTATATATGCTTTTTTAATCTCCAACAGTGCTTGGCTTAACTTTTGTCCGCTATTTTCTCGGGTTAGTTAACTGCACTGATGCTTCTCTATATCCTTCTATTCTTTTATATATTGTGCAGGTAATGTTGTGTCATTCATGGTGTTCATAGTGCCCTTGTAAGTAAAACCCCTCCCCCAACTCTTAGTTACATCTGAGTGAGAAGAGATAGAGTATATGAATGTGGTGTGGTAATAAGATCAGTTGGGAAGAAACCAGATACTAAAGAACTTAGGTGTGCCGGAGTGGCAGGCTAACCTTCTACACTACATGGAAGAAGAAATCGTCGAAAGGGATTCAATCCATCCCGCATGTGGTTACACTGCTGAGCGCAATGCTACTGCTATATCATGGTTTCCTAAAGAGCAACGCCATTTTGATCACCACCACCTAGTATTGGGTGTGATATAGAAGTCGCTTACCTGATATTGTACCTGGTATACGCTCCCAGGAAGTAGAAGGTTGCCGTGCGTGGACTTTGAATCGTCTTTGCAAATTAATTTGGGATGTATAGGTGCGTGCTGATAATATTATCAATCATGTGTGGGTGCAGATTTGAACTCTGGGGATGATTGGGATATTCAACGCGGGGGGTTTGGGCTGACCCTCATAATTTCCGTCCTGGGCATGAAGGAATGGCAGCATGTTCATGCCGTGGGATGGATCTACGGCGTTTTCAATATCATTGTCTTCGCTGCTCCCCTGAGCATCACGGTACGTACACGCAATATAATTAATTGATTAGTAGGCACGTGCGCATCGTTGAATTAATCAAGTCTTACCCGCGGTCACAGAGGAGGGTCATAAAAACCATGAGTGTAGAGTACATGACGTTTACTCTGTCCCTGTTCCTGATTTTTGCTCCACAATGTGGTTTTTCTATGGCTTATTCAACAGAGATTACTGCATCATGGTGCTGAACGTGGTGGGATTTATGTTTGGAGGGGCTCACATGGGCTTATACATGATGTCAAGGACGCCCAATCCAAATGTGCCTCGCAGTAGCCTCCACCTCCAAACCTTGTCTGATCTTTTCTGTAAACTTATATTTCTGTCATAATAAATTAACGTCTTCTTCATTTCTTATTTTTCTTAAAAGTACACTGGGCAAACTGAAATATCTTTGATAATATGTAGGATTGAACCGTCACCATTCGCAAGTTAATTAGGGGAGCTTTGTGCCACCAGGTCGTGTATAGGTATTGAAAACCCAAAACCAAAAAAAAAATAAGGAAGAATGATTGTAATGAAATTTTGTCTAATTAGTTCGTGTTTGGTTTATGCTTCGGTACGTAGCTCCATATAATCAAAGCATCAGAATGGCCACTCGCTAATTTGAAACTGAAGCCGACATGGAAGTACCAAAAAAGTCGACACAAACTTTCATGAGCCAGCGAATTAACAGTAAAAACTGATACAAGTATAAGAATGGTCATGATTAAGCTCTCCTGTTGATGCGCATCTTGGGAGTGAGTTAACTCCTTTGCGATCAAGTCCGCCCTGGATTAAATTCACCATGTCCACGCTGACCTTGCTGCTCATCCATGCCATCCCAATCACATTCATTTCATCTTTCATATTTACTTCCCTCCTTCCTCTCTTGTTTTGCCCTATCCGCCTGACGCCTGTCACATTCTTCGTTTACGCTCTCATATACACTCACACAAAGCACTACGTACCATTTACCTCATGCCGTCCTTTAATTCCATGCTTTCTACTGCATGACGTCACTAGTTGTAATCTCACCGTTGCATGCCTCTCCATTGTCTCAGCTTTCGCTTGTAAGGAAACTAAGAGCTGTCACGACGTCGCTCATCAAAGGACGGGCTCCCGCTTCTTCCTGCAGGCACATGGCTGCTATTGCCACCGCTTGATTCAGGTCCTTCTCTGGAAAATGTCTCTCCAGGTCTGGATCCGCCATGTCTGGGAATCTTTTCGGGTCTTTGAAAAAAGGTTGTGCCTGCTCAGTCCATCATAACACGAAAGGCAGCCACGTTATTAGCACTAGCCCGCCTGCATGCGAGGAAGAGAAATGACTTACCCAAGACACCAGGTTTTGTTCGTGGTTTGGTCTTGTGGTGTCGATGGCTCTCCGTCCGGTGATGAGCTCCAGCAGGATTACTCCAAAACTGTAGACATCCGACTTCAGGGTGACATTGCCTGTTGTAACGCACTCTGGAGCAGAGTATCCGTAGGTGCCCATAACAATAGAAGGGGCGGGGCCGGCTTTCTGTCCGCCGGCAAGCTTGAACAATCCAAAATCAGAGAGTTTAGGATTGGAGTGATGGTCTAGCAAGATATTTGAGGACTTCAAGTCTCTATATATGATTGGGGGGTTGGCCTTGTCGTGCAAGTACTCCAGTCCTCTCGCAGCATTGTACGCTATTTTCATCCTAGTCATCCAATCTAGTAGACCATTATTTGGTCCGTCCTCTGCACCCGCAAGATGGAAAAGGAAACAAAAGCTAAATATGAGAACTTGAACTCCTAGATAATATTATTATTGGTTTGCAAGGGGGAAGTTATGAGAATACCGAGAAGATGTTCTTCCAGGGAACCCCCCGTGATAAATTCGTAAACCAAAAGACGTTGATCCCCATCGGCGCAATAGCCGATGAGATCTACTAGATTTTCATGGTGCAAGAGACTCAGCATCAAAACCTCGACCAGAAATTCCTTACTGTCTCCGGGCACCCCATTTCTATCCAGTTGCTTCACAGCTACCACCTGAAAAACTCAAAAACTTAAGAGAACCGAAAGGAAGCGACCGGCATTTGGGAACTATATTTGCAAGATTAGACCTGGCCGGTTGGGGGAAGCGTGCCCTTGTAGACTCTGCCAAAGCTACCTTCACCCAGAAGGCCTTCGCGACAAAAATTCTTTGTCGCGGTTGCTAGCTCCCGAAAGGTGAAAGCTTGCGCTTTAATACTTGCCGGATCAATTTGGCCTGGGTTTTCTGGCTTTTGTTTCTTCACATCTGCTTGTCAACAACCACCCACAGCTCTCAATCAATTTAATGCTGATAGCTACCTATTCTAATGGATTTCATACAAGCTAAGCACCGCTCAAAAATTATGAGTGCCAACCAAATTTACGCCTTTCAAGTCCTATGCATTAATCATGTTTCATCTGGTCATTCTATCACATGAGATTGGCGTGTGAATTCTTTTGCGGCTACAACAAATGCTAGAAAACTAATCATCATCATCATCATTATCATTATTGATGTAGCAGAGATGCTCCTAATTAAACAGATGAGTAATAGGAACTAACCGGGCGGTGTAGACGGAATGTTTTCGGGTGGCGCGGAACCATGCTCCATCTTGCTATGGCTTTTCTTACTTTTGCGAGAGGAGAAGCAGGGGAAGCAATTCATGGCACTAATACCAATGCGCGAAACCAAAGGGCGAAGGGTCCTCCAAATAACGTTGAAGGAACCCGAGGGAGAGAGAAGAGGAGGATATAAGGGAGGCCAGGAAAATTAACATTAACATGAGGAGGAGGAGGAGGAGGAGGAGGGGGAGAAGAATATTGCTATTGTGACGATGACAACGACGACCATGAAGAGGACAGAAGAAGGAGAAGAAGGCAATGTGCTTTGCGGTGGGATGGAAAATGGAGAGGCTTTGTGAGAGCTGCGAGAGGGCGGGAGAGAGAGAAGTGGGAGATTTGAGGGGACAGGGTTGAGGGGTGCTTTAGATGGATCACGAATGCCAAAAATCGTGGAATTTGACGAACGTGTTGCAGAGCCAGGGTGGCCATTCATGGATGGCATCCAACTTTTGCTTTATTTTCTTAATTTTGGTTATAATTTCGATTGCTTTCCATTTTCCATTTCCAACCTAATTACAAACCATGATGCTACTTCCTTCCTTTTAAATTATAAAATATTTTTTTAAAAAAATTTATCTTAAAATATAAAACATTTTAAATAAATTAATATTTTATTAAATATATTAATTTTAATATTACTCTTTATCTCTTTATAATTAATTTTTATATTTTTTTTAATATACTAAATGATGAATATTTTTAAAATTTCATATTTTTATTTTAAAAAAATAAGATTGTTAAATATATTTAATGAGATTTATTAATATATAAAATTTTATTTAAAAGTATTTTATAATTTAAGACGGAAGGAGTATTTTTTTTTAATTGCTTCTATAAGTCATCGGGGACATGCATTATTTTTCCTTATCATGCATCACTCAACCATTTTTCATATCATGCATCACTATGGTGTGTAATTAGTCCTTTTATATATATAAAAAAACAAGAGAAATAATATTAAAAAAAAATGTCCCCCAACTTTAGGAGAGTCAGGGGAAAATAGAAACGTGATCAATATGAACGGTAGCGGTAAAAACTAGCTCATATTAAATATTAACATTAAAGTTTAACATTCTTAGTGACCTCGCGTTAAAATTGGAAAAATTGGGGAAATTGTCAACATCATTAATACTGAGATCCATCATCAATGCAAACGAAAGTAAGGTTTTGCGAAAAGGATTAGATAAATTAAGTTTTGAATTTTCACTTGAAGAGATATTTATAGGTAGCGTCCGACAGTGTCTTTACCTGTGGATAACCAAATATATGTGTTTTCTCATTCTTGCTTGATTCATTCAAGGATATTAATTATACCATGTAATATATTTTTTATAAAGGGTTCGTAATTAAATATATTTAATTATTTATTGCGCCAATGGAATCATTCGATACGCACTGGCATCATGACATAGCAAACTAAATATATTAACATTGACAGACAGTTTAATAATATTAAACTACATATACTATTCATTTAACTATATTGTGGTGATAATTTGTAGGGAGAATTTTAATAAAGATCCTCAGGTCATACTTATTTACATTTAAAAATTTTAAATTTTTAAAATTTCACTACAATTTAGAAATACTGATTTGATATTAAATTTTTTTAAAAATAATAATAAAATTACCCATCATTTAATCTAATATCATAACTGGTATATTTTGCTTATTCATTATCCTGCTTTACTTTTTTATTTACTTATAAAATATTATCAATTGTTTCACTTCACTTATTCATTTTATTGGAATGCAATCAAATGAAAGTCTAGCAATAAATAAGTGAAGTGAAGTAATTAATAACAGTCTGTAAGTAAATAAATAACATACAATATTATTAATAAATTATTTTAAGATAATTTAAATACCTAAAATGAAAACAAATTAAGTAAGACAATAAATAACATTTCATAGGTAAATTAACAAATGAAGTAGAACAATGAACAAATTAAAATAAAGAAGTTCTGATTTTAATTTAAATGAATGGACAATTTTAGTATTTTTCTTAAAAAATTAATATCAAATTAGTACTTTTAAACTACAGTAAAATTTCATAAATTAAAAGTTTTAAATTTAAATAAGTATGATCCAAGGGCCTTTATTAAAATTCTCCCTAATTTTCACAATAAGATATGTGGTTTAAGTTTTTAATATAAACATGGTAACAAATTAGAAAATAAAATAAGTTGTTATTTACATTTTATGGTATTATTTTAATACATTTTCCAAAACACGTAGAGTACTTTCTAAATTAGCTCCTAACTTTAGAATAATTGGTTAAAATATGCAAGTACCCTAAAGTTTGGAGTAATAGCACATAATCTCTTTTACCTTTAAAAATTTAGAGTTAATTTTTTCAATCTTTTCTTTTTACCATAAATTTCCTATTGTTATTTGCTAGTTATTTTAGTAATAGAAGTTGACGTGTCATATTTAAAAAAGACACATAACAACTACTTATATGACATACAATGTAGAAACTAATAATAGTTTTATAAAAATTTTGTCCATATTTTTTCTATTATTATTAATCTATATCAAATGCCACATAAGTTGTTATGTGTCTTTTTTTTTTAAGATGACATAACAAATTCAATTAATAAAATAACTAATAGTAGTAATAATAGGGGATGTCACAATCCAAAATCTAAGTCGAAACTGGCACAGAGGCTAGGCTAATTTATTCCCACTTAGCCTAGCAAGCCTTAACTAGCTATACCTCCCACACAGAAATGTCCAATAATATATTTTTTTTATCCAAGTTTAAACCATTCCTACTAGATTGGAGTGTCAAAAAAATGATAAATCAAATTGAAAAAAAAAAAAAACTTCATATGAAAGCCTAACAATTTATTTAACATTACACCTTGACTCAAAACACTACCATAATAGTCACAACATCACAGAATTCCATAATTATCCAATTGTTTGCAGTTTACACCATTCGACTAAGAATGATATCTCATCATTAAAAGATTTAACAGTAGCCTCATCTAGAAAAAAAAATATTAAGAGAGGAGTGAGTCTACCATTGACTCAGTAAGTGCATAAATAATAAAGTGCGTGAAAGGAAAGTAAAGGTGCACCAGAGTTTTTTGCAAATGATTTTTTATCAAATAATAAAATAAAATAATGTCATTACATTCAATTATTCATATTCCAAATTTTGAGAAGGATAAGAAAATTTTTTAATCTTCATTAATTAACCAAATCGACAATCATGCAATAGTAATCAAATATACAATCAAAGTATTCCTTCAATTAATACACCAATCTTGGTGGAGAATAATTATCCCACCTACTATATAATATATCATATATTACTCATTACTTCATGGGGAGGAATAACTATCTCACCCAATATAATATATCATGTATTACTCTTTATAAATCCATAGGGATGAATAACTATCCCACCTATAATATAATAAATCTACAGGTGAGGAATAACTGTATATACAATATATTACATGCCACATAAATCTATGGTGAGGAATAACCGTCCCACCTAATAGCTGATATATAGATATAAGATAAAATGATGATTAAGAAATTAAAAGAATGCAAAATTAATTAAAATAAAAATAAGAAAAATTGAAATAAAAATATTGTTCTACTAGGGAAAATAAACAAATTTATTGTATTAAAAATAAACTAATTTAATTTTTTTAACACCAAGTCAAAATTAAAATTAATTACAAACACAAGGAAAAAGGAAGAATATAATAACATTTTAGAAGTAGTAGTACCAACATAAATAGTCACCATCATCCTTTCAATAACACACTCGCCACATCAATTTTAGATAAAAAAAACACGTCTCATAGATTGTCCAAAGCAAAAAAAAAAAAAACTAAAATGATAATTAAAATTAAATTTTGACTCAAAAGCTTATATAATTTAAGAATCACAATAAAGAGAATAAACAAGTTTTGGATTTACTTTCAATACAAATAGACAAGTACAAGATTAAAATTTGATGAAACTAGAAAGGACAAATATATGTGAAAACAAAAACTGTCACCTTGCTATTTACACACTCACTTGTTGGGATCAATAGTAGAGATCTCTTATTATTCTTCTATGACTTAGCACCAACTAAGGAGACTCACTTGTGTCACCTTACGGGAGAGATCATGATTATATTTAAAACTTGAAGATGTATTTCACAATAAAATACCGAAATCAACCATCCTTCAAAATCTCGTGGGAGGTAAAAGAACGACGCTGGGAGTAGGGGAATGATGCTATGGGGTGTGAATGTACTTTTACATGATACGATCAAGCGAAAGATGCTAGGGAGCCAAAGATGTGCGGCGGGGAAGGTGAAAAAGAAAAGGAACAGAAGGAAAAAAATGAATTAAAAAAAAAGAAGAAGAAGAAGAGGATGTGGGTTTGGCGGCTTTTTAGAGAATAAGGAAAGAAGATATACTAACTTTAGGTTTATATATAAATATAAAGCTTATAAAATTTAAACTTAAAGTTTAGCATTATTATTTTGAATATTTATATAAGATCTATATCTAGAGACATATTAGGATAGATTTTTGTGTTATTTAAAATTTGATAAGATTTGCTGAGTTTTGCTATTATTTTAAATACTTAATTTATCTTCTATTAAAATATATATTTTGGTTAAACTAACTGTTAGTTATTATTTACTACTTAATCTCTCTCTCTCTCTCTCTATATATATATATATATATTAATTTCTTTCTTCTTTTATTAAATTTTTTTTGGGCATGTTACAGGAGAGTTGGTGATTAAAAAAATAAAATGTTAGAGAGTTTAAATTTAAATTTTTTAAAGTTGGGGGTTCTATACAGCTGCCCCAGAATTCAAAGCAGTTTTGTATATCTAGCTAAAATTATTTATAATTATGATACACATGGTACATGGGGGAATGAATTCTGAAATAAAATATGTGATTTAAGTTTTTAATGTGCATGAGATGACATATATTATAAAGTGGCTAGAGCAAGTTACTGTCTAGATTTTAATTTGCATGGGGTAAAATATTTTAAAATAAAATAACGTGTTATTCATATTTTTTTATGTTTACAAGGATTAGAAATCCTAAAATAAAATAAGTTTTAAAAAATAAAACATGTTTTATTCATGTATATGAGTGACAAATTGTAGACTAGAACACATTGTTTATATTTTAATACGTACATCTAGGAAATTTTGAAGTAAAAGAAGTTATTTATATAGCATGGGACTCGGGAGAAAAAAAAATTAAAATAAAACATATGTTCCCCATTTTTAATTTACACTGGTATAACAATATTTGTCGTCTAAAAAAAGTTGGAGCCTCTATTTCAGT